CATGCCACACCGCACGCGAAACAATGGCCCTATTGAGAGACGAGTTCGGTGAACAGCTTATCTCACGTTTGGGGCCCGTCAATCGGACGCCTAGATCGTGTTATTTAACGCCGTTGGACTATTTCTTGTGGGGCCATGTTAAGGCTAATGTCTACAGGGATAAACCAGCAACGATTGACGCACTGGAAGCCAATATTGAAGCATTTATTCGTGAGATACCGGCCGATATGTTAGAGAGAGTGTGCCAAAATTATCGGAGCCGCGGCCAACATTTACATGAAATAATCTTTAACCATTAAATTATATCGACCGTTATATCGACTCAAATAAAGATTTAATCGTTTTTTCAAATTTTTTGTGTTTTTTTTTAGAAAATCAAATCCTATACCTCGTAAAAATCACCCGTTATATACTTACCTTAAGGTAAAGGACTACAGCCTTATCCTCAAGACTTAAAAATAGCGACCTTAAAGGTGTTAAGCTATTTGTGAGATGCGATGTAATTTTGTCTGAGCGGTCGCCACTTATCCTTTGCCCAAGAAACTCACATTCTTCTCTGTGCGCGGGAGAAGCTTGACAATTTGAGCAAAGTAGAAGGCCGCATTTCTTTGGACATGGCGAAAGATCTAATATGCTGAAAATCGTTAAAGATTAATTTGGCAATGACCAAGTATTCAGTTGTTACACACCTATAACAACTCACACACATATCAGTGGGCTCGGCCAAACATCTTGGTCCCAGAATTACAGGATAATCACGATATATTATATCACCAGGATTCAAGTCGTGTTCAGCAAAAATTCCGAGGCCTCCTAGGGGAGATTCTCTGACTTTCCAAGGTGCGTCTTCTACTAGTATTTGACGCCTCTTCAAAAAAGCGTTTATAATATCATTAACGTCACTTGCTGATCTGTTAATTGTTGCGGTCATTCTGAACCTGAAATAATGATCAAATTAGAAGGTTCCTCCACTGTCTAATGTCGGCATAACAAGAAATTTGGGTGGTGGTTCAGACAAATAACAAGGCTACGAGGTTAAGCTAACAGATAGGCAATCACAAGAAGTAGACAGAAATGAGTGACATTGACTATGCACCAAGAAAACGAGGTCAATTAAACAGTCACTCTGGAAAATTTTCGTTACCCCTAATACATTTAATTTTTAATTACTCTAAGTAAATAAATTATTCGGTTTAATTAAACTAACTTTTCTAGAACCAGTATAATTGATACTAATATACTATTAAACTAATTTGCTTGAAAATGTCATGTACCTGTTTCGAACTCCTCAGCTTCATTTGTGATTTTCGCGAGGAGTTTCATATTCCAATGTTGCCGTTATTGGTGTATTAGCTATGAAGTAGATCACTTATAGGGCATGAGGCGCATAGTGACCCATAACCATGGTTAGAATATTTCTCGCTCCAAATGAAACACTACATATAGGGGAGTCGCTTCTGACGTGACGGAATGGGAAGAACTTTAAAAATTTATTTTATACAGCATAACATATATTATATATATACAGGGTGACTTCGAAGTTGAGTCATTTATTTTAACAGTGAGTAGATCTGATCAAAAGAAATGTTTTTTTCCTTTACCATTTTTCTGGTAAAATTAAAGTAACAAAGTTATAGCCCTTTGGAAGTCTGAGTACCGCCCTGTCTCAATAATAATATTATGTGCTCGTGTTTGGCAACAACGGATATAATCCGCCTTATCGGTTCATCGCATCGGAAACAAAAAAGCGAAAGAATTTGGAACGATGTTTTTACAATTATTTTATTCAGTTATATACAGTCAGTGTCAGTCGGTAACGCGTGAGTGAATAGTGGTGTCTGTTGCGTAGCTCAAACGAAATCAAAAATGGCACATGTTTACGAAAATGCTGAACTTGTGGACATGATTCTTATTTACGCGGCATCACGGATTTATGCGGATCGGTTTCCCAATCGAGTGCAACCAACCCCTCGTGAATTTGTTAATGTAGTACAAAGGGCTCGTGAATCAGGTGACTTAAGACCTCACAGGGGAGGGCATGCCGGTGCTCCAAGACCGCACGATCAAATACAGGACCGCACTGAAACACTTGTCGGGAGGATACTTTAGAAAACAAGGTAACATTTTTTTTAATTTTTACACACATATTTTGGTTTATCTTCCTTCTACAATCATTATCAGAAAATTAATGACTCAACGTCAAAGTATATATGTATATATACAACAAAGTTTTACTTTTGAGAAGACTGAGGGACAAAGCTCTGATCTCGAGTTATAACAACATTAAACAAACAAAAATTGATGAATATTTCCAAGCTTCATAATTTGATAAATTCATTAATGATTTGGATTAATAATTCTTGATTATTTTGGTACATATGTATGTGCATTTATGCTCAATTTTATAATAAAACGTAAGCTCTATATTGTTATTTAATTTACTAAATTCGACATACATAAACTATGTATGATTTGTACTTCAAAGTAAATACATATACATAACATATATAATCTTACCATTGGATATGTAATTTGTCGGATTACAAGGTACTAATTCCAGACTATAGGGGGTCTTAGTCAGTGCTCTATAATCCGACAAATTCGATAGTCCGACACTGTCCTGCATAATGTTTGTCGGATTACCGGAGATCCACTGTATAACAAAAAGTAAGACAAATTCCGCAAAAAGGAGAAAAGTGGATTCGAGCAGAAAATAGGATAGATAACCCGAGCGATACGTATTTCTGCTGGTTGGCTTCATCAGGCCCGAAATGAATGCACATATGAAACTACAAAGGTAGGTACACATGCCTACACATCCGGACACGGGTGTAACCTGAGGAAACGAAGATGGAGAGGGAAAAAACGACACACGAAGTCCACAACAAGAGCCAACCTACATATTGTGGTATAAAATGGCTAGAAGGCCTCGAATTTTCAAGGAGACATCCAACTACAACCACGCGGCCGGTTATAGCCACTTGCTGTGGTACTTCAAGCCAAAAGGATCTACAAAGAGAAAATGATCATGCGGAGAAAGGTATATAACAAAAAGTAGGGAAATAATGGGCAGAATCCGCAAAAACGAGAAACGTGGATTCGAGCAGAAAATAGGATAGGTAACCCGAGCGATACGTATTTATGCTGGTTGGCTTTAACCGGCCGCATGGTTGTGGTTGGATGTCTCCTTGAAAATTCGAGGTATTCTAGCCATTTTATACTACAATGTGTAGGTTCGCTCTTGTTACTTATGGTTTGAAATTTTCCATGCGTATACAAATAATGCTTGTTCTATTATTTTTATGCAACTCTTAAAATGAGTCTTGCCATAAATTGCCAGAGTTTTTGTCAGCCCTAGAATGCTTGTAAGTACACCGTGGAATGATCAGGAACTTGAAAAATCCCTCCAAAGGTAAGTAAGCGTTTTTTGTTTATATGTCGCCATTGCCATTGATTTTCAAAAATGGAGTAGCTTACTTACCAGGACTCCAAAGCCGATCCCTTTCCAAGTATCGGCGAAATCTCTCCAGCCGTTTCCGAGTGCACAATTAGAACTAGAGCAACGCAGAACAAACCGCATAGGTATGTTATAAGGAAGGAGTCAGATAGTCAGCGAAGTACAGTCGACGCGAACATGGAACCACGACTCGAAAATAAATTTGATATAAATTTGTGATGAATGGTGTTGCAATTGTTCTAGATCTAATAGCCGCTGACATGAAGCTGTACAGCGTTGTAGTTGATTGAATGTGTCCTTTGACATTTTAAGTTATTTAGTATTTTGTTATGCATAAAGTTGAAAAACGTTTTCACGTGAATACATGAACTTAATGTACCTGATTCTATTTTTGTGATTTGAAAGAATGTACACAGGGTGTCCAAGATAAAGATCTTATGCATGGGGATCTGAATACCTGCGAGAGATACAGCTTAGGTTAAATTCGGAAAAAGTTGCGTTATTTGGGACGTATTTACATGCCGTTGAGAAACTTGTAGAAATTTCATGGCATACTGAGAAATGTGGGAAAAACTAAATTTGGCCAAATCGTTTTAATTTTTTATGACTGTATTTCAACAGTCCTCAAAAAACAAGGAAACTTTTATTTGCACTTTTTAGGCACTACGTTATTATATGCTCCAACAAAAGTACACCCTATAACTAATAGCATTTTTCATACGAATGCAACGTTTTTTCAGATTTTTTATTTTTTTTTTAAGTAGGCTGGACTTGACGTAAATACTGGGTCCATGAATTTTTAATAGGCTACCAAACCATATTAAAGAGTGTGGAGATATGCAGGGTGGCGCATCGAATACGAAACAGACGCATTTACTGGCAGCTCAGTTTTTTTTGGAAAAACGCTCAGACCCGTCGATTTTGTTTTAGAGAGGGACACAAGTTTGGCAAAAAATCACGTTAGCACGTGCAGCTCCCTGGGCGGGGTGACACCAACCCTAGAATCTTAAATGGAAAGGGGGCTCGAGTGATACCTTATTTTAAAGGTCTTTCAATTCTCTTTATAATGATGTAAAATACATGAGCGTTCAGTAGTTTTGAAGATTTATTGATTTAAAGCTTAAAGTTGACTTTAATAAGAACACCAGATTAGTTTGTACTACTTTCAGAAGAAATTTGACTAAAAGTGACTTAAGTAAATGCTTTTCTTCACTACGCCCATGGTTTGTTTATCATTTTGTTGTTGAAAATAGCTATTGGAGCGTTTTTTTGTGGTAAAAAAGTTATTTCTTGAAGAAAGATAAGGAAATATCTCGAAATTATTTTAAATAGGAATTTAGTACATAGTTTGCGGTTGGTTTGACCAAACTTTGTTGCTAAAATATCTTGTAACGCTGTATTACATAAATTAACCATGGTATATTCCACAGCAGAAAGAGTTGAAATTGTCGAATTGTGAATGAGTGCCTTCAAATTACTCCTCAAATATTGCAAAATACGCGGCAGCGTTTTGACCTAAATCTTTATTATTGCATGGAGAGTCATGGTGGCCATTTTCAACATTTACTTGCCTAACGGGTCAGTTCATTCTTTATTTTTAAATTACTTTGCTGCCAAATGTATTGATCTCCACTAATGATGATGTACTAGTTTTATTTAAGCTTTAAATCAATAAATCTTCAAAACCACCGAACTGAAGTACATTAATTTTATATCATTATAAAGGGAATTGAAAGACCTTTCAAATAAGGTATCACTCGACCCCCCTTTCCATTTAAGTTTTTGGGGATGGTGTCACCCCCGCTTAGGGGGCTGCACGTGCTAACGTGATTTTTCGCCAAACTTGTGTCCCCCTCGAAAACAAAATCGACGGGTCTGAGCGTTTTAAAAAAAGCTGAGCTGCCAGTAAATGCGTCTGCTTCGTTTTCGATGCTGAGAGCTCTGATATATCAACTAGGCAAATTGAGAAAAATGTAGGAGTAAAAAATTCAAAGCCCATTTTTTGCAAAAAAATTTTATTACGTTTCGAATTCTACTGTTAGAAGATCATATTTTAGAAAATAATTTGAACACATATTGCGAATGAAATAAAAATAATGTTAAAAATGTAGGTATTCGTTATTCTGAATATCACTAGATTAAGCATCAGTTTATAGAATTTTACCCCATCGTAACATTACGTAATCTGTGATATGCATCTATCAGTAATCACATAATCTTACATCAAGTATTTGTTTGCAACACATACTTAAATAAAATGGAAAAAATAAAAAAACACATATGTGATACATCGTAGAAAAAGACGCTTTCAGATACATGGTGTACTTTTTTAGGACCATATAAAAAAATAAAGTTGATGACGATTTCTCAAAAACGAAACGTCGGGCACAGCATTTAAAAACGTCAGCTTAAAAAGTGCCAATGAAAAAGTTTTTAGATATTTCTTAAAATGAAGTCAGAGAAAAATAAAAATGATTGGGCCAAAGTTTAGTTTTTCCCAAATATCTCGGTAAGCCATGAAATTTTTACAAGTTTCTCAACGACATGTAAATACGCCCCAAACGCAACTTTTTTGTAATTTAACCTAATCTGTACCTCCCACAGATATTGAGATCCCCATAAATAAGATCTTCATCTTGAACAACCCGTATATACTATGCTCTAAGAACAAGAACAGCTAAAACAACTTTTCTGCCAGCATGCCAGCAAATCCTCGGTGTCTTTCCACCGCTAATGTAAAATATAAATACGAGTATCTTGGCAATAACATCAGCCTGCACATTCTTCTGCAATTGTGTTTTACGTTCAGCTAGACTTATTTCTGTCATTTCTCATTTGTTATAATAGCACAGTTAAACCGTGTAATGTATCAGAACCACTTATCAGGGTGGCCCATAAGTCGTTTGAAATTTCAAATTTGAATAAAATTTAACGGGTGAGCGTGAGCGGCGCGGGAGAGGTGGGGGCAGTATCTTCAGTGTCTGGGAATTCAGTCCCCATGGAGTGTTTCACTGGAGCGGATCGTGCTTTTTGTGTGCGCGCGTTTTATCAAAATAATGATTCGGCAACCATTGCGCGGCGTAAATATCGAGAATACCACAATTTACACAATTTTACAAAGTGTCCAACAGCTCAAACGATTAAGAACTGGGTTGCTAAGTTCGAAGAGACTGGTTCGACGTTAGATAAACAGCGGTGGGGTCGACCAAGGACAACTCGTATTGAAGAAAACATCAACATTGTGGCACAGTCTGTTCGTCAAAATCCTACCCAGTCTACTCGTAAGCGTTCCAGTGCACTAAACGTACCCAGAACATCTTTACAGCGGATTTTAAGGAAAGATTTACGTCTGCACGCTTACAAAATTCAGTTAGTGCAGGAATTAAAAGATAATGACGCTATTCAGAGACTAAATTTTGCGAATGAAATGTTGAATCGATTTTCTTCGCTCAATAATGTGTTGTTCTCGGGCGAGGCTCACTTCCATTTAAAGGGGCATGTAAATAAACAAAATTGCCGTTATTGGAGCCCCGAAAATCCAAGGCGTAAGCATCAGAAGCCCTTACACAGCCCTAAAGTTACAGTTTGGGCTGCTATGTCAGCGCATGGCATCGTAGGCCCTTATTTTTTTGAGGACGACAGAGGTCGCGCATTAACTGTTACTTCGGAGCGGTATGTAGCAATGATAGAAGAGTTTTTGACACCAGCGTTGCAGAATTTTCCAGGCTATAATACGCAGACCTGGTTTCAACAGGACGGAGCAACTGCCCACACCTCCAACACTTCTATGCCCGTCGTCTGTCAACTTTTTCCCAGCAAAGTAATTTCTCGAAGAGGAGACATTTCCTGGCCACCACGTAGTCCAGATTTGACCCCAATGGACTTCTTTTTATGGGGCTACCTCAAGAGTAAAGTGTACGACACCACTCCGCGATCAGTTGATGTCCTGAAAGAAAATATCCGAAGAGAAATAGCAAGCATTACAGTGTTGACTTGCCGCGCAGTCATCGACAATTTTAGACGTCGTTTATATGAGTGCCGTGATCGTAATGGATTGCATTTAGACGATGTGATTTTTAAAACATAATTCCCATTCAATAAAGATGATAACAAAATATAATAATTCTTCATAATGTAACTAGTTTGGTTTTATTCCTTTTTTTCCAGCTCAAAGGACTTATGGGCCACCACATATACGCCTATTTTGTATATTCAAATTTCTCATACGTACAGATTAAAAATCGTCGAACCGTTTTGGAAACGCCCTAAAGTGATATTAGAAACTTTAAAAACGATGGAAAACAAATGTTGGGGAAAATCCCCCTTCATAGAATTGTATTGACTATGCCCAAACATGATATATCAGAAAGCCACGAAATCTGTAAATGCTTTTAGCTTACCAACGAACTAAAGCTTCTGTGTTCTTTTATCGTATCTCCGCCGCAGCAGAATAGATTTTTGAAAACCGAAGTGCCTTTCCTACTATGTTCTCTCCACCACATCCTTCTCCAAATGTTTACAAAGTCGGTGCAGACGTATCTGAGTTAAAAGAACGCCAATAGATCGACAGTTGAACAAACTTTGGATGTTATGGAACATAAAAAAGCTGATAACGCATTTGTAAGCGATGCCTACCATCAAGACATGTTTAAAGAATACAATACGTTTCGATATAGGCTAAATGGAACCCCAAGAATCGAATCCCTAAAATCTGTTTTTATATGTAATTAAAAAAATATAGCACAACATGTATTGAATGAAACAAATCTAAAAACTTTTTTGTAGGGGTTGAACTTGGTGGTTGGAGATAGGGAGTTGTAAATGCTTAGTATTAGTCAAAAACGTTCTATCGTTAAGTAACTTCTGATAACGGTAACAACGGGAAAATTAAATGATAAAAGTCCGATGTATAATTCGAAATAACTTGCATCGTCGTGGAGACCACTACAAACTGTGCAATGGGTAACAAACTGCAACTGCTGAATCTGCGGTGGTGTCGTCACTGACACCGCTACAGGAGAATATTTATACAGGGTGTTCCTTAATGATATGCGAATATTTAAGGGTGTGAATCTACATGAAAAATTAATGTTAGTGTGCTTTATAAACTATGGTCCAAAAATGTTTCCTTACAAAAACTCGGGGTGTTGAAGTTTAGGAAAAAAATGTAAATTAATTAATAGTCTCAGAACCGCTTCATATATTTCACTGATATTTAGTACGTAGTGAAGGTTAATATATTTGCATATTTTTCAATGCAAAAATAATTTTTAGCTTCAACAGTGGCGTGCGTACGGGTATTGACTTTGATATTTTTTAAGAAAAAAATAGTACGTCAACGGTTTTTTGCCAAATAAAAATATTTTTGAATTCCCCGTTGAATTTAAAACCAATGATCTCTCTTGAATTGTTTTCCTTCGATGCGCCATTTTTGAGTAAAAAACTAAAAACCGTTCTATTGTCTAACTTGCAAAGTTATTAATTTAATTGGAAAAATTAAACACATTAGGGGTAATGATCAAAAACAACTGACAACATAAACATAACATTAAAACCAATGAAATGATTACAAAAATTGTTGAAAATGACCCCCTTCACTTAGGACGCATGCTTCCCGCCCTCCTTCTCATGGAATTGCGTACTCGTTGAAATATCCCTGGATTTTTTTATTCTATCATAAGCTGCAACTGTTCTTTCTCTTAATTCCTCTACAGTGTTAATGGGATTTGTGTACACTAGTGTCTCAAGATAGCCCCACAAAAAGAAATCTAAACTGTTGAGGTCTGGGGTCTTGGTGCCCACCGCGGCCAATCCAACAGTTTGTAAATAATTACGAACTGCTACACTGAAATGCGCTGGTGCACCATCATGCATGTACCACATATTGTTTCTTATTACTAACAGAACATCATCAAGCAGCAAAGGCAACTGTTTAATCCAGATATCTTTAAGCAACAGAAAACTTCTGAAGTTCGAATATTATCCCGAGTTTAATACTTTCACCGTTTAGGTAGTGGTAGATTTTAAAAATTGATTCAGAGGCTGTAACATAGTGTAACAACATTTTCAGACATTGTTTGTCATGATTTTTTAAAAGCACTGAATAGCCGTATTTTGAAAAAGTCAATTCTTTCTGTGGGATAAGGATTGATTTGTATTCCTAATCCATTAGCTAACACTGCCAAACTACAGCATGAATTTAATTTTTTTGATTAGCAAGATAATGTTTTTCTTGAATACTGTACTATAACGTTTTTTTATTTTTCAAGAATTCTTTGTAGAAATTTTATTTCGAGCTTTAATGTACCTAAAGAAATTACTTCTTTCTGTATTTTGTATAGACAAAGTTTCCGTCAAAATACAAAATTAGATACTTACCTCCGTAGTTCTGATTACTTTTAGTGTCACTATAAGGTAAAGCAAATCTTGAAAACACTGACATACGAGGAGAGTTTCTAATCAATATGCGTGATGATAAACGGTGTAATGAGCGTTCTATTTTTAATCCCTATAAATCTCGACTAATTACTGAATCTTTAATTAGAAAGGAAGGTAAGAATAAATAATTAAATTAACTGTGCACTGCCCACAGCGACCCAATTTCAAGGAATGTATGCTATTGCCAGCGCTTAACAGAGCCGTATTTACAAATGTTTACTTCCCACGCCTCACTGGCATGTACATCGCGAAAAAACGTCACTCATTTCCGACTCTGTCTGTTCCCCGGTCTGTCTGTCCGCTAATCCTTGGCCCCTCTATAACTTGGAGAGTGAAATATTTGGATGAAATTTTTACACAAGGTTATTACTATGCCAAGCACGAAAAAGCTTTGTAGTTTTAGAAAATTTATCCAGTGACGGCGGAGAATGCTAAAAACAAAAAAGTAAAAATCGATTAAAGCTTCGTTTTTTGACGTTTCCGATGATCCTGATCATTGATAAATACCTAATACATTAACTACTTTATCCAGAAATGTTTTCCTTCAAGGATCTATTTTGAGTCCCCCCTTTTATTTGCTCTTTATATTTGCATTTTGAAACTGCCAATGACTCAGTCGTTCATCGTTACACAACCTTATAACAGCTTCGATCCTGATCAGTACATTGGACAATATCAAATAAATCAGGATCTGCAGTCTGTTTTTGACATATTTTGAGTACATAATCTAAAACTGAATGCTGCATTTGATTTAGGCCTAAAACATATTGTGACGAATCATACTGTCGGCGCCATCTGTTGGGCGAGTCTCCTATTCGCTAGAGCTTCATGGCCGATCTCTGCTTTTACGCGAATCACGACCGCGCCAGCCACCTGGCGGCGGATCGCCATCTAGATCGACGCGAAGCAACTTCGACTATTCGGGAAGGCCGCTATGTGGCTCCCGATTCTTCTAGATTCAACGATGCGGACTATATAACTCGGCGGCCGGGAGATGGAAGGGAGTACGGAATACGGTAGAGTAGAGCAGAGTGAAGTGTCCAGTCTGCAGTCTGTTTTTGACATATTTTGAGCACATAATCTAAAAGTGAATGCTGCATTTGATTTGGGCCTAAAACATATTGTGACGAATGATACTGTCGGCGCCATCTGTTGGGCGAGTCTCCTATTCGCTAGAGCTTCATGGCCGATCTCTGCTTTTACGCGAATCACGACCGCACCAGCCACCTGGCGGCGGATCGCCATCTAGATCGACGCGATACAACTTCGACTATTCGGGAAGGCCGCTATGTGGCTCCCGATTCTTCTAGATTCAACGATGCGGACTATCTAACTCGGCGGCCGAGAGATGGAAGGGAGTACGGAATACGGTAGAGTAGAGCAAAGTAAAGTGTCCAGTCTGCAGTCTGTTTTTGACATATTTTGAGCACATAATCTAAAAGTGAATGCTGCATTTGATTTGTGCCTAAAACATATTGTGACGAATAATACTGTCGGCGCCATCTGTTGGGCGAGTCTCCTATTCGCTAGAACTTCATGGCCGATCTCTGCTTTTACGCAAATCATGACCGCACCAGCCACCTGGCGGCGGATCGCCATCTATATCGACGCGAAGCAACTTCGACTATTCGGGAAGGCCGCTATGTAGCTCCCGATTCTTCTAGATTCAACGATGCGGACTATATAACTCGGCGGCCGGGAGATGGAAGGGAGTACGAAATACGGTAGAGTAGAGCAGAGTGAAGTGTCCAGTCTGCAGTCTGTTCTTGACATATTTTGAGCACATAATCTAAAAGTGAATGCTGCATTTGATTTGGGCCTAAAACATATTGTGACGAATCATACTGTCGGCGCCATCTGTTGGGCGAGTCTCCTACTTGCTAGAGCTTCATGGCCGATCTCTGCTTTTACGCGAATCACGACTGCACCAGCCACCTGGCGGCGGATCGCCATCTAGATCGACGCGAAGCAACTTCGACTATTCGGGAAGGCCGCTATGTGGCTCCCGATTCTTCTAGATTCAAAGATGCGGACTATATAACTCGGCGGCCGGGAGATGGAAGGGAGTACGGAATACGGTAGAGTAGAGCAGAGTGAAGTGTCCAGTCTGCAGTCTGTTTTTGACATATTTTGAGCACATATCTAAAAGTGAATGCTGCATTTGATTTGCGCCTAAAACATATTGTGACGAAACATACTGTCGGCGCCATCTGTTGGGCGAGTCTCCTATTCGCTAGAGCTTCATGGCCGATCTCTGCTTTTACGCGAATTACGACCGCGCCAGCCACCTGGCGGCAGCTCGCCATCGAGATCGACGCGAAGCAACTTCGACTATTCGGGAAGGCCGCTATTTGGCTTCCGATTCTTCTAGATTCAACGATGCGGACTATATAACTCGTGGGCCGGGAGATGGAAGGGAGTACAGAATACGGTAGAGTAGAGCAGAGTGAAGTGTCCAGTCTGCAGCCGGCCGTCTGTTTTTGACATATTTTGAGCACATAATCTAAAAGTGAATGCTGCATTTGATTTGGGCCTAAAACATATTGTGACAAATCATACTGTCGCCGCCATCTGTTGGGCGAGTCTCCTACTCGCTAGAGCTTCATGGCCGATCTCTGCTTTTACGCGAATTACGACCGCGCCAGCCACCTGGCGGCAGCTCGCCATCGAGATCGACGCGAAGCAACTTCGACTATTCGGGAAGGCCGCTATTTGGCTTCCGATTCTTCTAGATTCAACGATGCGGCCGGGAGATGGAAGGGAGTACGGAATACGGTAGAGTAGAGCAGAGTGAAGTGTCCAGTCTGCAGTCTGTTTTTGACATATTTTGAGCACATAATCTAAAAGTGAGTGGTGCATTTGATTCGGGCCTAAAACATATTGTGACAAATCATACTGTCGCCGCCATCTGTTGGGCGAGTCTCCTACTCGCTAGAGCTTCATGGCCGATCTCTGCTTTTACGCGAATTACGACCGCGCCAGCCACCTGGCGGCAGCTCGCCATCGAGATCGACGCGAAGCAACTTCGACTATTCGGGAAGGCCGCTATGTGGCTCCCGATTCTTCTAGGCTCAACGATGCGGACTATATAACTCGGCGGCCGGGAGATGGAAGGGAGTACGAAACACGGTAGAGTAGAGCAGAGTGAAGTGTCCAGTCTGCAGTCTGTTTTTGACATATTTTGAGCTCATAATCTAAAAGTGAATGCTGCATTTGATTTGGGCCTAAAACATAGTGTGACGTATAATACTGTCGACGCCATCTGTTGGGCGAGTCTCCTATTCGCTAGAGCTTCATGGCCGATCTCTGCTTTTACGCGAATCACGACCGCACCAGCCACCTGGCGGCGGATCGCCATCTAGATCGACGCGAATCAAATTCGACTATTCGGAAAGACCGCTATGTGGCTCCCGATTCTTCTAGACTCAACGATGCGGACTATATAACTCGGCGGCCGGGAGATGGAAGCGAGTACGGAATACGGTAGAGTAGAGCAGAGTGAAGTGGCCAGTCAGTGGCGCGATAAGAATTAGACGAATGAAAGAACGAAGGTTAGTTGAATAACACGATGGCATCTGGATGATTATGTGTATTGGTCTGAATGTGTATAAAAACAGTGATATTTGCTATGATGAGAAAACTATTACTGAATATGCTGCCAATGAAGTATATCTATTAGATGTGTCCGACAGGTTATTTATATATTGTCATTTCTGAAGACAGGTTATGTTCAAAGTTATAAATTACGATTTTTCCCGTTTTTTTTTTGCTTTCAAAAACTTTGAGGAGCACTACGGGAAATCGCCACTGCGCCCGCGTTGTGTGCAATTTAGCCACATCACAGAAAAATTAGGAATGACGCATCACACATCAAACATTTTCGCAATGCCTCACATCTAGGCGCTGATTAGTATTTTCCATTGACATCGCAAAATACATTTAAATGACTGGAAATAAAAAATAATGTAGTAACCTTTTCAATTTAATAAATATTCCTGTCTGTAGCATATTTTCTCACCTGTTCCTTCACCAACCAAGGATTTTCTTTTCTTAGCTCTCTCATTTTTGAAATTCAGCAAATGTGCATATGTAATTTCCAGAATGGACAAAACATAGTGGATGCGCAACTAATTTCTAGCTTTGAATCCCAAGTAAGTGTATTTGAGACAAGAAACCAATGGAATTATCATCAACACATATTATTAGCGAACAAATCCTCACTATGCACTGCCGTTTCCTCCTAGCTGTATACAACATACAGCTTAGACCTCCAATAATGCCATCTTTGAAGCAGATTTTACATCACATTAGAACCAAACATTGATAACTCAAGCATCATGACGTTTAGGCAACTACAAAACGAATTTCCAACAAGTGTCCATTAGCTAGTGCTAAGTTAACATCTTGAAGAAAACCAATATAATGTGAAAAAAACCGACATAATGTCACTTGTCAAGATACGTAATACCTTTGCGGGATCCTGTCTTATCCGGCGCCCTCTGTAATCCGACACGCCTTTCACTGTTGTTTGTACGAGGGTGGTCCACGGAGTACCCGACCCAATGAACAAAACAAAAACGTTCAGTATTGATGGCTGCCAAACAAATACGAAACAACGTGGCGTCTTCAAACTTGACACCTTATGCTTTATAGGTTGCATACTTTTTACTTTCTAATACAATGATATTTTTCAAACAACTGTGGCCATCTCTAGGTCAGGCCGGGTATTTCTGGGACCACCCTCGTACATAAAAATTTCAGCGACTCTTCACTAATATGCATGATTGAACATGTTGTAACATGTACGCGCCACCAGTTATTATTTTTTGTAAGTTCTACAGCACTGATGATTATTTATTTTTATAATAAAATACCAGCTTTTCATTGTGATGTTACTAAATTCCACATATATATTATACATATATGTACATAATTATGTTGAATGATTCGTAGTTCACATATATTCTTTGATTTGTAGTTTATCGAATTACAAGACTAAATTAAGAAAATTCCGGGCCATAGAGGGTCTTAGTCTATAATCTGGCAAATTCGACAATGCGACATCATTTGTCGTATTACCGCGGGTCCACTGTATTGCGTTATTTGTTGCCTGAAGAACCTTTTTAAATTAACTAAGATGTGGCAATTAAATAAAAAAACAGGAATATTATTAATCATTTATTTATTATTTGTAGGAAAAGTCTTACTAAGACAAACATGTACCTCCTGCATAGAGGATAGTTGCGTGTCCCAGAGACGAGAGACCAAGCCTAGACCTAGGCCATTTTGAGGTGTACGTGTAAATGTAGCAATCAGTTTGATTGATATCACGAATATCGCTAGCGTTCTAGAAAACATTAGTTTCCAAAACTGAAATAAAATAATATTGCAATAAAACTATTTTAAATAATTATAAGATAATTTATTCGATAAATAAAAAAACTACAAACCTTGACCATGAATAGACTTAGCATTAAATGAATTATATGAGCAGTTCACAGACTTATTATGTGATTCCCCAAGATCAGAGTATATAATCGGATAATATTGTAGCCTTCCACTGGACCATCCTATTGTTAAACATGATCCGGAGTCGAAGTCCTGTATGAAGCTTATGGTACTTGGTTTCTCTTCAGCCAAACCCATGATTAATGAGCTGAAAGAGAAGGATATCTAGTTGATCGACTAGGTACTTGATCATAAAAAAAATATCGGAAACAACAACCAATACTATAGGTGAGGTACCTACAAAAAGTCACAGACAGGAGATCTCCATATAAAAATTATTCAAAAGATGCAGGGCGAGTTATTTCTAACAAAAAAACTGATTTATAGAAAAAAAGGATCATTATAAGTAGTTTTGCAGTGATACAAGAGATTGAGTTACTGTCCATTTCCGGACGTTGATTGGGTAGAAGGTGATAGGGATGAAATAATCTGCTACCGGTAGATGGAGGAGATCTTCAATGTTTTGGCATATCGATTACTGAGTGCGAAATATTATGTCTGCATTTTCTACGAATGTACAGTGGCAGACAAAAGTTTGGAAACAAATATTAACATTATTATCAACTATTTCATATACTTAAATTAAAATTGTGAAGGAACAGATAATATAAATATTAAAGTCTACCCTTGTCTCCCGTACTAATACAAGGTTTATCATATCAATATTCAAATTCTCTGAAAATAAAAACACGCGTTTTTTTAAATACCATAGTTTCTGTAACAACAAAAGTATGAGAAAATTTCAGTTTTGCCGTATTTATTCGTTCTGCGATACTCTGATATTTCGTGCGGTAAATATTAACATCAGTGAGAATGGCAAAAGTAAAATAATTTTCAAAAGATTTAACAGACAAAGTAATTGAATTATTTAGAAATGGTGTCAGAAATGTTGACATTTCTCAAAGATTAAAAATGAACAAAGGGACGATTTCGAAAATTATTAGTAAATATCAAGAATACAGATCAACAGCAACGCGGCCCAGGTGCAGAAGACCGAAAAAAATAATTATGTTTTGAATCGCTACATTAAACGTTTGTCCCATGAAGATCCTCGAATGCCAGCTACACAGATTTTCAAAAGAATCGTAGAAGAGGGTGCCGAGAATCTTTCTGTCAGAACCGTGTAGAGACTCTTCGTGGATTTTGGGCCTGTTGGTAGGCGTCCAGTGCAAAAGCCACTCATTTAAAGTCATCTAACTTGGTCAGAACAACAATGGAATACAGTTTTATTGAGCGATGAAACCAAATTTAACTTGTTTCGATCTGAAGGTACAGCATATGTGTGACGACCAATACGAAAAAGATTCGACAAAAAATATCAGTTGCCAACAGTTAAGCACGGTGGAGGCAAAATCATGGTTTGGGGCTGTTTTTCTAGTTCTGATACGGGTCCAATTGTTAAACTTGTCGAGAAAATGGATCAAAAACTTTACAAAGATATTCTTAGTGAACACATGCTCCCTTTTGCTGAAGAATAAATGCCTTTACGATGGACCTTCCAGCAAGATAATGACCCCAAGCAGACCTCAAAATTCGTAAAGGACTGGTTAAGACTAAAAGAATGTTAATGTTCTTTCATGGCCTTCGCAATCCCCGGACCTAAACCCTATAGAACATCTCTGGGAGCATGTTAAAAGACAACTGATAAGAAAAACTTTTGGAAATAGAAACGATTTATTTGATAATGTAAAAAATATCTGGCAAAATATCCCAACAGACGTCTGTAAACAAAAATGGTGCAGCAGATGTCAGGCAGTGTTGAATGCTAAAAGCTATGCTACCAAATATTAGCTAAACAGTATTTTTTAAATCTTTTTGTAGAGTTATTGTATTTAATTTTGTAATAAAATAATATGAAGGTATTTTAATGCTGTAGTACCACAGCAAACACAAATTGTCATTTTGTATCATCAAGGCTAAAAGCAAACTATATGAGAACAAAAAATAGTCCTTAATAATAAGGAATAAAGCATTCCAGCAATTATACATAAACTGATTTCTACGAAACATCAACACGGCAAAACAAGACAATAAAACAGCTGATCACATAGTGTCATTCAAAATTCCCCATATTATCAAGAGGCAGATACAGACACTGTGCTGATGATTTTGATGAGTTATTTAGTTTTTTGGTATTACAATTCAAACGAACCCATCGATATAACACTTCAAATCAGCAGAGAATAAATTGTACACAATACTTGGTGAAAATAGTTCTCACACACTACTGAGTCACAATAAATTTACTGTTGCCCACAGTACAAAATTAACAAGGGAGATCACACGAATAGAAGTCAAAATGTTTGAAATATTTTGATATTTTTAGGTTAGGTGAATTAAGTGGCTTTATAAATCCGACATTAGAATTGGTTATGCTTGCCTCGATAAGCAAGACGAAAACAGTATGAGTTTGTTGTAATATAGGACGGATATCTAATATAATTATTAATAATGTTTGACATCCGGTTTTTCTTGCTGTCTAAAAGACAATCTTTCCTTGCATTACCCATTACCAAGTGTTCAGATTTTGTATTACACTGCCTGTGTAAGTATTTTACCTTGGTATTAGCGCCAATTGCGGCCTTTTAACAACTCCAAACACAGCAATACAGTCTGTATCCTGGAAGAGTACAGCAACGTGCCTTCCTTTGGGGTCCGCCTCAATTTGCCTTATTGGTCCTCCTAATGGGATTCCCTCCACGTCTACGCGTGACATATCAAATAACGGGCATGCCTGAAAAAAGTACAACTGAAATAGGTTTCATTCCAACATATATGCTAACTGTGAAATATTTTAATTCTGGATAACACCTATGTATGGTTTGTATAGGAAGCCAGTTGTCGTACCAAATGACTCATTCGATACCATAAATCATCGACTCTTAGTTACAACGCTTTTTTTTTGTTTTCTTAATTCTTCTGTTAATATGATTTATAGCTTTTTACAAAAACGATCTCAGAGGGTACCTAAGCATTGATATGATTTCGTCTCCAAAATGTCTCATTTCCTATGGAATACCACAAGAGTCTGTACTTGGGCCACTATTATTCATGTTATATATATATATATATATATATATAGAACTTGATCATGCTGAGAAAGGTATATAATAAGAAATAGGAAAATAATGGGTAAAATCAGCAAAAAGGGAAAGTGGATTCGAGCAGAAAATAGGATAGGTAACCCGAGCAATACGTATTTCTGCTTGTTGGCTTCATCAGGCCCGAAATGAATGCACATGCACAACCACAAAAGTACATACACATGCCCATGCATCCGGATAGGAGTGTAACCTGAGGAAACGAAGATGGAGAGGAAGAAATGACACACAAAGTCCCCACCAATAGCCAACCTACACGTTGTAGTATAAAATGGCTAGAAGACCTAGGATTTTCAAGGAGACATCTAACCACAACGACGCGGCCGGTTATAGCTACTTGCTGTGGTACTTCAAGCTCAAAGGATCTACAAAGACAAATTTATCATGCGGAGAAAGGTATACTAAGTGACATATAAATCCGAACTCCCAGTTTAAATGGGTTAGTTTAATAAAATTTTGTATAAGTACTTAATGAAGCATAATAAGTAAATGATAAAAATTTCAAAATGATTGCACTGCTTTAAAGCCCTTTGACCTTTAATAATGTGTGGATGCACCCTGATGTGCTACGCATTCTCCAACGCGCCTAGGCATGCTTCTGATCAGGTGGTCAATGTCCTCCTGTGGTATCTCATTCCAGGCAACCACCAACTCCTATCGAAGTGCTTCTAGAGTCTGAGGAGGACGTTGCAAATTGAGCAATCTCCTACCCATCATATCCCACACGTGCTCAATTGGGGATAAGTCGGGAGATCTTGGTGGCCATGCTAACAATGTGACATCATTATGTTGAAAGAAGTCTATTGTGACTCTTGCAACATGTGGTCGGGCATTATCTTGTTGGAAAGTTGGATCTGCCAGGGTGTCAAGATAGGGTAAAAGATGGGGTTCTAGAACTTCGTGGATATAACGCTGCGCGTTCACGTTACCTCTGATGAAGATTAAAGGTGACCTTGAACCATAAGCTATAGCACCCCAAACCATAACTCCAACAGTGTGATGAACATGTCTTTCAACAAAAAACTGTGGAATCCTCCTTTCACCACGTCGCCTTCTAACCCTGGCACGACCATCGTGCATGCCTAAACAAAATCGAGACTCGTCACTCAAGACAATACTGTTCCATTCCTGATCCCAGAGTGACCGTTGTCTGCACCACTCAAGGCGATTACGTCGGTGTTCTCGAGTTAAAGGGAGGACCCAGTGTGGCCGGTATGAAAACAAGCCAAAACTTCTCATTCGTCGGTAAACACTTCGCATGCCAATAGGTCTTCCGTGTTCTGCAAACCATTCATTTGCAATGGACCTGGTATTGGAGAAACGGTCCCTTAAGGCCAATAATCTTAGGCGGCGATCTTTACGGTCTGTTGTTCTACGGCGGCGTCCAGTGCCCCTTGCTCTTTGCGTACGGCATTCTCGAAGCCATGCCTGACAACACCTAACCACAGTGTCTACACTTCTTTGCACTCTAACTGCAATTGCCCGAAAAGAAAGTCCAGCTTCCCGAAGTCCCACTATACGGCCCCTATCAAACTCACTAAGTTGACGAAATCGTACAGTTCTCCGTACTCTAGGCATCGTAACCGATCGTAAAGGATGTCAAGAACCAAAATCCGAAAACTTTGATTCTTTACTGCGGCTGAAATATTCATTTTTAGAGCGTTAGTGAATTAAAAAAAAGCAGTATAAAAACTGGAATGTCCAACTGATGAGGCTGAAAATTTTTTCACTTGTTATTTACAGTAAGATAAATACATTCACCAACTTTTATTAAAATAAAACCATTTAAACTGGGTGTTCGGATTTATATGTCACTTAGTATATATAACAAAAAAATAGGAAAATAATGGGCAAAATTATAATTATTTAAGGAATCCCTGAAGATACGTGTCACTTGCGACAATAGACAAGCAGGGTTGCCATAGATGCTCAAATCAAAATCGATTAAATCTTATAGAAAATCCGAAAAAGCAAAAATAAATATTGCTGATGTAATTATCCTCTAGCCCCCCCCCCCCCCCCAACCTCCATGTATCAAAAATAAGCAGCGTGAAGACCCACCCGGTCCCCTTTAGTGTTTGCGTAATACTCGTAGGTGGTAGACGGTCTCTGACTGTCGAACGCGGAGGTACCACCCGGCGGATCTCGTAGGCGGAGCCAGAATGTGTGCATGTTGCATGCACACGTGTTCCCTCGCCAGAGTCCGTGTGGCGTTCCCCCCCCCCCCCTGTATCCCCCTATAGCCCCACGGTACCCAATGGGTGTTTAGGCCTTAGGCCTTCATGGTAGTTGGTTAAATCTAAGAGTAGAAAATACTAAAATTCGTCAATCACTCCGCTGTGATTTTGTTATTCTGTTAATAAAGTCGTCTTTTATTTTTATTTATTTATTTATCTAAGAAACGTTACCCTTGTGGCATAAAACTAAAAAAACTGATGCACTGAAGAGCAGGGCAAATATTCTAAAACCCGAGAGAGTAACAATGTAGCCATGTTGTTTTTAGCTACTAACACAAATACTTCGATCACAGTGGCCTCATCAGAATACGACGCCAGAGACCAATAGTTAGGAAACAAATTGGATATTCAATGTTATTATTGGCTACCTGTTTTTCCAGTGATTCCCCATTGGAGACAAAGGCTATGTCACAATCGATTACAGCCCCATAGAGCACAGTATCCCCTTCAGCAGCAAACAGCAAAACTGAGCCATCTGCCGCCCAACAGGCTGACTGAATTCTGCCCATGGATGGTAAAGACCAACGTTCACAGTCCCATGTACGGCAATCCCATATCCTAAGAAATACACATGGTGTTCTTAAGGTTTTTGTAAAAATAACCATATTTTACGTAAGTTATTAGGTGTCACGGAAAAAGTTTTATCTCATTTAAAGGCCGTATTAACGTCCGAGGTGGGCACGGTGAGACCTAGACAGCCCAGAATGTTGCCAATTGAAGTAAACGTTAATGAATGGCGCCAACTTTGAACAACAATTATAAGCAACATGCGACAGGGGTGTACTTGAAATTCTTATCAGATTTACATTTAATTTTTTTTTACTTTTTCGCTGATATCTGTCTGCAGCTTTGTTATTTCAAACGTAGTTCTTTCTGAAAAGTCAGACTTAGAGAACACTGTATGTATTTCCTCATAAACATCTAAAACTATGATTCAGACATTCAGAGTTTTTTAAATAATTCATTATACAATACTATAAAAGTAAACTTCAATGGACAAAAAAAGAATGTTTTAAATTTTAAATCTGCTGCTACTTATTTTTGTGAATCAAATCTCTCAATATTCAATCAACTGAAGAATATCTTGACACTTACCTAAACACCAATGTATTTGAACAGCTGAACAGCCTTTCCCCTGTAGGTGACCATTTCACCAATATGTTACCAGAGCCACCAGATCTCTTCAAAGAACTGGTCAGGTCCAATTCTACATCCCATACTAATATTGTGTTATCACAAGCTGCAGCAGTTACTAACTTATCTCCTCTCGGCGACCAAGCTAAGCTGATGACTGGTTTATGCTCCAATCGCTTCAAAACAACTGCATTGCTAATCGATGGTCTAACCACCTAAAAACGCCCAACGAATCTATATTCTCCTGGGTCACGGAAATAACACGCCAGAGTTACACGGGAGGTATATTGGCTTCAGATCAATCAGATAAAATCAACATGACCTTAGTAAAAGTTTTCTAGTTTTCGAGATATGGACATTTTTAAGTTTCTTTAAAAAATCCATACTTTTTGCTCCTGTTTTCTCATTATGGCGTAAAGAACTTCTAATTTATGATTTTTTTCGCTGGGCTACCCTTGATAGTTGGTTGAGACAACCGAATATTTATTTCATTGAAAACTAGCGCGGTAATTATTATATTTGGTTTATACGCGAAAACCTTTATTAAAGTTCTACTAATTACTGTAAAAAAAATGTACCAGATTGAATCAGCAAATAACCTTAAACATTAACTATTGAATGCTCTTTCCAAAATAGTTTAACATTTGTAGTTTCTTTTTACTAAGAACTGAATAATTCCAAGTTTTGTCACTGAACTTGTCATACTTGTGAAATACTAGAAATAAAAATAATAAATGCAACTGCCTTTTGTTTCCAAATTACAATCTTGTAGTTGCTGTAATTGTGTTGGTAGGTACCATCTGAATGTTGTAAAAATTAATGGAAATAAAAAAATACAGCCTAATGTTCTATTCATTATTTGCTAAAACTCGTCTAACTTGGACAGAAAAACAATGGAATATAGTTTTATGGGGATGAAAGCAAATTTAACTTCTTTGGATCTGACGGTACGGCATATGTGAGACGTCCAATACGAAAAAGATTCGACCAAAAGTATCAGTTGCCAACAGTTAAGCACGGTGGAGGCAACATCATGGACTGGGGCTGTTTTTCTAGTTCTGGAACGGGTCCAGTTGATAAAATTGTCGAGAAAATGGATCAAAAACTTTACAAAGATATTCTTAGTCAACACATGCTCCCTTTTGCCAAAGAATGAATGCCTTTACGATGGACATTCCAGCAAGATAATGACCCCAAGCATACCTCAAAATTCGTAAAGGACTGGTTAAGACTAAAAAATGTTAATGTTCTTACATGGCCTTCGCAATCCCCGAACCTGAACCTTATAGAGCATCTCTGGGAGCATGTTAACAGACAACTGACAAGAAAAACTTCTAAAAATAGGAACGATTTATTTGATTATGTAAAAAATATTTGCCAAAATATCCCAACAGTCGTCTGTAAAAAATTGGTGTCTTCTATGAGCATCAGATGTCAGGCAGTGTTGAATGCTACCAAATATTAGCTAAACAGTATTTTTTGAATCTTTTTGTAGAGTTATTGTATTTAATTTTGTAATAAAAAATATGTTTACATACTCTTGTCGTCTCATTTTAGGTGATAAAATCATATGAAGCTTTTTAATGCTTGTCTGTAGTACCACAGCAAATACAAATTGCCATTTGTATCCTTAAGACTGTAAGCACTTTTTAACAATTACTAAGAATGTTTCCAAACTTTTGTCTGCTACTCTATATGAGTAGAGGTGTTCCTTTGCAAACACACACAAAACTATTTGTTGCTTTTTGACTTTTGCTACATTTTGTTCATTTATTTTGTGATTTTTGTTGCTTTATGAGTGTTTATAGAAAAGATAGAGCAAATAAGAAATACAATAAGGTTAAGACCACAATGTGCATTGGAATAGTTGCTCCATGGACTTAATTTATTTTTTAGGTAAAAACATGTATTGTCAAATACTGTAAATACCCTAATACTGGAGAACATGGCAACAGTTACTAAAAATCATCCAAAACAGGCAACTGATTCCAGAAAAAATATGCTGTAATCTTGGCTATTTTTTGTGTGTGTTAAATTCTTGTAGATTAGGTAGATTTAGAGAAGCCATATGAGCTATATTGCACATCACATTTCCAATTCTTTGATTTACAAATGTTATGTGGATTGTGTTCAGACTGAATATTTGCCTAGTCTAATAATTTAATACTCAGTGAAACTGGGTGCTTAGTAAAATCAATAGAGTACAATGAGTACCAGGCACAAACCAAGTACTAGATGGATCCCTAATAATACTGCCATCATAAGCCAGAACTCAGTAACTGCAAAAAATGCGAAAATGATATAACATTATCATCATTTTGATGATAAAATACAGTATATATATCATGACAAATACAGAAAATCTAAAAATTTTCTTTTACAGTATCTAACATTTTGACTATCAACTTATGTAAATTAGAATACAGCATCTGGACATCAATAAATTTAAACACAGTAAATGCCCCGTCCTTACTGTATTCTTGCTTAGAAGTCATACAGATACTGTGTTTTGATTTATAACCAAAGCAATGGCGATATCAGGTACTATAATAGATACAGGTAATCACACAGAATTCATAATATTTTTAATTCTTCGTTGGTCATTTAGTATATTTGTAGAACTTTTTTATAGGTTTCTTATACAAAAGATATGTACACTGAACATGAGATAAACAAACGTAGTAATTACTGTGTTATTAATCAAAGAAACAGCAGTTCAGACATTTCTGAGGTAACAGTATATGCTTTATTTGTTTATAAATAGGCATCCTTGGTAAAATCAATGAATTTGTTAGAAAATATTATCAATTTTAACCAGGTACAAAGCAAAAGCATTCTTTTTCCTTAAAACATTAAAATTCGAGAATGGTTACAACACACTCTCATCGCTCCTGCAAAATGTGAAATTCACAGATACTACCCTCTGGTTTATGATGGCAGAACAGTGCCTTAGAGATAATTACCAAAGAATTAGGATCCACATTCCAAATAATGATTCCATCTTCATGTCCTACAGCAATCTCAGTGTTAGACAGGGGTCTCCATGCAATGCAAGTAACATGTTTCTGTTGCTTACATCTGAGTATAGGTGTTATAGATCCACATTCACTGCTAAAAATTCTTATGCTATCATCACATGTAGCAATAGCTACCTTTGACGAGTAAGGATGCCATGCGATACATCTTATTGTGGAATTTAACCAATTTCTTCCTTGAGCATATTCATTTATTAGAGTTGGCCCGCTATAGCGAACATTCGGGTTGAAAATTAATCTGACTTTATTTATGTACTTTAAAACATCTAAAATTAATTTGGAGCCCTTTCTTATAAACCACTGATTGTGACCACTAGCTGTATGTAGGGTTTCTGTGAAACCTTGCTCATAATAAACCTGAGTAAGCTGCTTTAGAAATGAAACATCTACAGGTAAGAACAGTGCTTTGCCTTCATCCCCTGAGCTTATCAGGTGCAATTGATCTCTGGTGATGTGTATTTTTGGATGATTTTTAAGCTGAAAATATAAGAATACTGTTAATAGTGCTAATAAAAAACATCTAGCAGCAGTTTACCGCATCAGTAAATGCATCTAGATTAGCATATTCGTAATTCACAGAGTGTACTCGTCCGTTGATTTCACAAAGGCATATTTCACCATCGTTAGGAACTTCAAATTCATGTAATCCCTTCATTTTTCGGCAATAGGAAAACCACTAAACATGCGAAAACTTCGAGATTTACAAAACTAGGTTAGAATTGAAAACAACAAATCAACAAATTGAAAATTCAAATCGTAAACGCATACCACCACAAAACATATACACTGAAGAAGGTTTAGTCACGTGCTATCACTGCTATCCATAGGCAGCGCCACCTTCAACTAACGCAACACGGTCGATTTATGTCAGTGTCAATCGCAATTTTTTCTGGATGCCACATGGTTGTCAGATTGTGCACGACCGCCGCATGCGACGTTGTCGGCTCTTTGCATAAATCTAAGACTCTTGTACAATTATATATTGAGCATTTACTAATGATAATTATATGGAAGATTTTATAACGACATATGTTAATAACATATTTTTGATGTTTTGACAAATAAGTAATCACTTATCTGTTTAAGCAGCAGCGTCAATAACACATGCTATTATAAAATCATCCATATATCTCTCTATAGCTATTTGAACATTTGAGAACAGTAAAAGAATCTATAATACTTGAGAATATATTTTTATCTAAATTTCATATTGTATATTATATATAATAATGTTTATGGTCCAAATATTTTCATTTCTGGTGATGATCTTCTGCAGCACCTGCATGAAAAAATTGTTAGAATTAGTGATGAAAACGAATTATTTCAAAAAGAAAGTTATCATTAACAACTGTAAGGTTACTAGAGTTAGAGTTACCAGATTTTTCATAAGAAGTATAACACAGAGTTATCTAATCACATTTCCATAACAGTGATAATCAGAATGTAAAAGTTTTACGGAAAACATGATTATATATAATTTAGGAATTTTTACATCATCATTAAAATATATCATACTTTTTAAGCTATACATATTTACGGTAATTCTCTAGCTTAACTACACCAGTCTTTTTTCTGAATATCTTTGAGATAGGATTTCAAAATAAACTGCCACTTTTTGACGTCTACAAGGTGGCATAAATGGAATATTAATATGATGTTTTGTCTCTTATCCCCCGGCTGAACTTTGATTTTTTTACGTATGCCTTTTTGGATAGGCGAATAGTTTTGAATTCCAATTTTAAATATATACGATATTGCTTAGTGGATTACTATCCCTATTTAGATATTATAACAAGAAATCGTATTCAAAGAAATATGAATACATGTTGCAGACTTGTAAATGGTCTCAGAAAGTATGATCATATATCGAATGCCATTAATAAACTCAAATGGATGAAAATTGATAAAAAGTACCAGCTCCTAAGTCTGACTCATAGGGTTCTTTATTCAAAAACACCGTTATATTTAGTAAACAAATTCATACGTAGAGGGAATATGCATGGCACTAATATTAGATATAGAGAGACTTTTTCAATTCCACGCCACAGCACATCTCTATTTCAGAAGACAAATATTTACAATACGATCAAATGATATATTTCTTTAGACCCCAGTTTAAAAGAAACCAATTCATTGCCCAAATTCAAGAAAAAAGTGAAAGAAGTTTTTCTTGATCAGCAGCGAAATCTGTTGTAACCCATAAGTGGCCTCATGTTTTTCTTACCTATGCCTTTACTTAGATTATACTTTAGTCTATCGTAATTGTATACAGGTATTAATTTTCAACAAATTCTGTTTTTTTACATCTCTATTGTTAAGGGGGTTAGATGGTAGAATAGATATATTATCTAAATCTCGCCTCCTGTAATAATATTACAAATCAAAAAGACGTTAATTATTAATAGGCTGAATGAATAAGTAAAATGGGAAATTCGATTTTACCAGCTGTTCCTTATGTACGAGTAGCTTAAAAATATTTAAAAATGCTCAATTAAAACATGTCGCATTTTAATATGTCACTATTCAAGTGTAAGCCTCAATAATAACTAATAAAAAATATGTTTAAGTTATACAGGGTGTCCGATAAATAGTACGACAAAAATGGGGAAGATAGGCGAAAGATCTATGACATACCAAAAAATGACCCTAGTAAAAGTTTATTATTTCACCTTTCTGAAGTCGCGATTAAGCAGGTAATTTATCGCAGTACTTTGCAGTAGCAGTCTAGGACATTTTTATTTCATTGCTGAATACCAAAGTCGAGTAAAATAGTTTTCTCATATTACGAAGAAGAAATTCGTTTGTCAAGTTTACCTACTTGTATTTATCGAAAATAATATTTCAGATGGCATACTATTTGAGAATATTTTGCAAAAAAACCACACAGATATCCTGTTAACAGAAGAGAGATTAAAAGAGGAAATTTTTCGAAAAAGACAAAACAGTTGAAACTTTTACTAGGGTCATTTTTTGGTATGTTATAGATCTGCCCTTTGTCTATCGTCCCTATTTTTTGTCGTACTATTTACCAGACTAGCCCTATTTCCTGCTAAAACAACGTAAGTCTGTAGTTCTTAGAGCGTTTTCCATTATTATTAAAATAAACTATAATGGATATCGAAATGTCAATCTTTCAGAACTCGAATACTATATTTAAAACTGTTTTTTGTCGGTGATACAATTTTTATTGTCTAACCACAAATTCAAAATGTGTGATTCACAAGGTCTTTGCAATGACCGATTCACATCTTTCCACTACAAATTATCCTAAGAGGTTTGCCCATAAAATGTACATTTAAACATACACATATAGTAATTTTTAGTATTTAATTAAAGTAATCCTATCGCTAGGTTTGTTCCGAACGCCCTGTATATGATATTCAAAAATTCAGATTTGGCTGTGTTGTAAATATCGACGTACATGTATAAAAAACGGCAATCTTTCCAAGCGTAAAAAAGTACGCCAACAAGCCAGCGGCAGGGAGAGTAGGAGAGGGGCAAGGAGGGATGGTTCTGCGGCAAGGTACTGCGCTGCTTCAGTTATCGAGGTAGCGCGTCGGCGGTCGGTTAGTGCTACGAAGTCGCGCCACGCTACGCGCTTTTCGTGCTGCTCGGAAAGTTTTTTATGTGTGTGTGTGTGTGTGTGTGTGATGGTAAGTCTTTGCTTGCTTAAGAAGTACTTGTGTCTATTTATTGTTTTTTGAATGAACAGCGTGCTAAATAATAACAAGCCGTAATTACAAGCGAGCATTCCTAAACCAAAGTACCACGCACAAAGCTTATGGCCAATCCGGTTAATTTTAATGAAGATTTGTGTAGTGATAGTTCATGTTGTGCCGTTGAGAAACTTCTAAAAATGTTATGGCTATTTGGGAAAAACTAGAATTTGACCTAATCGTTCCTACTTTTCTCTGACTTTATTTTAAGGAAAATCAAAAAACTAATAGAACTTTTTAGGCACTACATGATGGATTTTGAAATGTTTGGTTTTTGAGAAAAAATCCTCTACTCTACTTTTTATATGGTACGAAAAAAAGTTGACCTTGTATTTGATGTTATAGCTGTATCGCATGTTAATTTTTTTTGGTTATAAAGAAAAATGTCATTTTTTATAGTTTATTCAAGTAGGCGTTGTAAACAAATGCTTGATGTAAGATTATGTGATTACTGATAGATGCATAATTACATAATGATATGATGGGGTAAAATTTTATTGGGTACAAAATTTAAAAAGTCATTGTGTCGTGTTTAAAAAGTGCCAACGAAAAAATTCATTGGTTTTTTGATATATCAACTTCAACTTTTTATTAATAGGATCCTTATCTTGTATTATAATAGTAATATTCATTTACTCTGAAATACAGGGAACATGAAACGAGTAAATAAATATAATTTATCCATAGAAGGACAATGCCTGTGCATGGATCATATGTATGTTGAATTGCAATAGATAAAAAAAGAAAGAATATAGAGAAAAAACAACTAGTCATGTTCACTGCATTACTAGATACATGAGACTGGTATAGTGTATTCCATTCCGACGAAGGCTATTTGTGACATCTTTCACCCAGCGGCGGAAGCAATGTCTATTAAAGTGCAAGTCATATTCAAACATTACAGGTACCTCGGCATGTGTGATTTTTTCGGCGTGGCTGTGACGCATTGAACGAATACATGATCACTTCTGGTACTTAAATTTTTAATAAAGCCAAAAAGGGAGTTCATATTAGCGACCGAATATCTTCTTATTCTAGCTCATTAAGAAAAGTTTAAAAACTGACTTTTTCCTATATTTTTCGAACATTTTGATTCAAGTTCTTCATTTCGGAAAACATGTCGGATTCAAAAATATGTTTCTATTTGTTTCAGGTCCAAGGTCCAGTTGAGATGGAAAACTCAGCAGTACTAGATGGGAGACGGCAAACTTAGCAGTACTAGGTGGGTTTTGTTTTCAGTTGTATAGACTAAACTTTTGTGCTTAAAAGAATCTGATTGATGTATTTCACATGTTTCAAACTCCAAACCGTTAATTTATCGTTCATTTGATAGCTTTAGTTTGAGAGGCAATTTCAAAATATTTTTGTATTTGTTTCAGGTCCAGTTATAGCTGAAAGCGCAACAGAACGGCAAACTAGGTAAGTGCTTTTATTTGAAAATCTTACGTTTTAAATGAAACTAAACCGTTAATAATGGTAAATAATTTTTTGAGGTATAAAGAAATTTAGCATATGATGCCGGAGACAAAACGCTTGAGTATTTCAATTTTTTCTGTAAGAAACATATTAAAAATATCTCAGTGCGAAGATTATTGTTGAGATATAAATAAAAACAATTGGAAATACGGTAACTAATAGGTTAGTGCGGTGTGCCAGTTTTTGGATATGCTGAATAAAATTTTTCTATGAAAAGTCAAAGATTTTCTTTCAAGATATTTTTTATATCTTAATTTTAACGGATTATGACACACAATATTCAAAATTTCAAAAGGGTTATAATCTTGGTTTCATCAAAATTTTACAAAATACAAATGCTTAAAATTGAACAAAAGATGTTTTGGGAATTCTTTTTCAGGATCGGATTCAGCTTTCTTATTTTCTTGTATTTTAAGTGCAATGCCCTGTAATTTATTTATATTTTGCAGAAAAAGGAGCAACACACATCTTACAAGTAAGGTTATGCACCCTATTTAGCTTTTTCAGTATTTTCTTAGTGATTTAACTGATGTTATACAACAGCATGGGTTCCGCTTTAGGGGAACAGCATTTAGTATGAAAATGCCCTAAATTTGAATCCCAGGAAAAAGTCAAGATTATGATGAAAATGTAGAAAAACCTAATATACAGGCCGAACTCCACAGCAGTTTCAGAATAGTTACGTTTAGGTGCCTTCATCACAACCCT